CCCCAAAACCCCAAAACCCCAAAACCCCAATTTAGGTAATATTTATTGAAAAATGAGGTTTCCGAAGTGCCAGCATAGGAATTGAAGAGAGAAAGCGGAGTGTTATTTGATAGAGAGTGGGATTTATGTGTGACAGGGGGATAAGGAGACAGAGTATTCTAGGGAAGAGAGTGTTAGGCTGGTTAAGGAGAAACCTGTAAGGATATGTCTCCAGGTCATTGATGAATGTAGGAAGGGTATGATGTTGTTAACTGAAATTAATGGATTCCAAGCTCCAGAAGAAGACTATAAAGCTTTGGACATATCTTTAAAAGAACAAATCTATGATATTCAGAAGAGGCTTCAAGAAGCCATCCAAGACAGGAAGTACTTCAGACTTGGTCTTCTCTTAAGAGAAGCTCGAACCATAGAAGAGTTCCTAATGGATGACCCCCTTTTTATAAAATATGCAGTTAATCAGATTATGAAGGACGCAAAGGCGGTGGTAAAGAAAGAAAAAGAGAGAAGCCTTGAACTAGCAACCAAAGAGATCTCTCAGCAATATAATGATTTGCTGTGTAAAACAGTTAAAAAGTTAAACGAAAGAGCAAAAGGTATTTCCAAATATATTTGGGTATAGCATCCTCTAAAATATCCGAATGCTAATTTACTTCTAGAGAGCAAGAGAAAATATGAAGAGTTGCAGTCAGATCATGATTTTTATCAGAAATAAAAGCAAAGTTATTGTTTTGTCAAGCTCCCTCTTTCTTGTTGGAGCATTTCTATTATATTTGTTCTTTCAAAATTTTGAGCTCAAATATTCAGAAACGGGTGTGTCGTTTAGATGTAAGAACTTGATTCAATAATAAATATATTAGATGATCTTTCGGGTATGAATTCTAAACTTTATCATCAATAATCTAAATCATGATCATAGTATTACAAAATTTCCACATCTTCCCAGTTAGAGCAACTAAGTTTCTAAAATTTTTCTCTAAAACTGTTTTCCCCCTCAATCTCAAAATGCCTATTCTCGTCTCAAAAGCTCTCTAGACAATAGCAGAACCCCTCTATCGTTTCAAAGCTCCTTAAAATCTGAACTTTTTGATAACGAATCTACTATCTCGACACAGGCTGCTACGATAACTCATCTCCAAACTGAGGTGAACACGATAACTCAAAACCTGCTCCAAGCCATTAAGACTCCTTCTGCGTTGTTCGAGTTCATCAGTGGGATGATCACAACCTACTCTGTTCAAGAAGTCAAAGCACTTTCAAACAAGATTGTGGGCACTGAGGTTTATAGTGAAGTCCAGCAGAGAATGATCCTGAGGTTGAATGATCACAAGCATTTTGAGTTCTTAAAGGCAATTGAACCAGTCCCAAGATCTACAAGGAACAAAAGGAGTTAAACATAGGAATGTGCGTATGCTCCTTTGAAGAGTGAAGAGCTTCAGACCTTTTTAAAGTACTACTTTCCAGAAGAAGTTACAGAGTTCCATTTTTATGGATCGAAGATAGACTCTCCTGTTGATTATTATTTGGATGAGTTGGTTATTGTGATGAAGAAAGTTAAAGAAATGATGATTGTGCATAATTATCAAATAAGCCAGATCAGCCTGGAAGCACTCTTTTCTCAATCCAAGCATCTAACCTCATTTGGATTCATGAACTGTCAGATAGATGCTTCTTCAACTCCAGAATTCGGAGATAGCCTTACTAATAGCACTATAAAAACTCTATACTTAAGCAACCTGAACCAGGCCTTTTTCCAAGGAGGGATATTCAGCTCCTCAAATTTTGAACACCTCATCCGAGGCTTATCAGTCTCAGAAGATTTCAAGAAAAACTTAAAACAAATCTGGGTGGAAAACTGTGAAGAGACTGAAGCAAACATCCTAGCGATTCTTACCAAACATGGTTTCGAAGGTGTCAGTGTTCTAGGAGCTTTAGAAGTAAAATCAGAATAAGTTCCAAATAAAACAATTGAAAATTTTAGGGTTCCTATTTGTGTAAAGTGCCTTTTAAGGGGAAAGAGGGGTTGGAGTTTGAGGAGGTAGTAAGTATTGGAGGTGATATTGATTTTATTTTGGATTAAATAATGAAAAGAATAATTTTAATCTTAATTCTGGGAAATATAAACACATTAGAACATCAATAGATCAATTTTAAAACATAGCCTAAAAATATCAAACCCAAAATTCAACCCAAAAATATAATCCCGGGGTTTTGGGGTTTTGGGGTTTTGGGG